ACCACTTCGCGATCAGCTATCCACTGCTCCAAGTCGCCAACGTCTCTGTTGAGCAGGAAGAGCTGCAAGGCCTCATCCAGCTTAGCGCGACGTTCTTGCGCCACGTCCTTCAGTCCGGCATACAGCTTGTCCAGTTGCGACTGTTTAACAGCGACCTGCTAGGTCAAAGGATGTCCTTCAGCCGACAGGGCCTTCACAGTTTCACCCAGTCCTCTGATGGTGTCCGCATAAGCTTCAACGGCCGCTTCCAGACTTTCGTACTTCTTCATGAAGTTCCTGGCGCTGGTCTAGTTTTTGCCCCGATCTTCCACCATCATGTAGAGCTTCTGCTCGCTCATCCAGCTCTCCGCCTCAATGGCATCGAACAGATACTGCTGCGCCCGCTTGTTCCACAGCAAGTTGGCTCGTCTATTATTGATGGCTTCCTTTTCCTTAATTTTATTTTCGCTTAACCGTCGATGCTCTCTGGTGGTGTCAATAACAGATTCGTTCTGTAATGACGCCACTGCTAAAAGAGTCTCCAAATTCCATGCAGCGTTTATGGATTCTACATCAGGCTGAGCTTCGGCTGGCGCCTGTTCTTCGATGGGAATGTTTTCTTCTTTCGGCAATTCTGGGTCGGAAAATTGCTCAACTTCAGTAGCGATTTTAATTAAATTGGCGTCTTCATCTAATGCTGGGAAATCATGTACGGGTTTCTCGCTAGTTGGCCCATTGCACTCGGAATCAGATGATTCGTCACTCAAACAAACTACTTTTTCTAAGCCCGGTTCCACAGTTTTCCTTCTGAGCATTATTTCGGGTTTAGTTTTCGCTGATTCAAGCAAATTTTGCCCATTTTTCTGCATTGTTACTTACTCATGTTCCATTGGCCTAGTGATGTCTTCGATTTTATCGCTCACAGTTTTATCAGCAACCGACAATTCTTCAGTCTTCACAATAGTCGCTTCGTCCGTAATCACCTTATCTGATGGGAGTTCTTCAGCATGTTTGTCCTGTGATCCCAAAATTGCTATACTTTCCGTCTTTGCCACTTCCTTCACTTTCGCCGCAGTTAATGTCTCTTCCACAGAGTCGACTTCTTTCGCCACTTGAGAGTCTTTCAGTTCCTCTGCTGAAACAGTTACTTTTGATAGCATAACACCTGGTAAAAACTTACCAGGTTATCAGTTTTAGCCACATCATCTCCTTCAGAGGCAACGGAGTCAGTTATTTCCCCATCTAAGGACAGTTTCTGATCAGAACTAGCCACTTCGGGCTCCACCTGAATTTTCTCTAAATGCTCCTGAGCAATTTGTTCATTCGTGATCTCGACAATACCATCTTCTCGATCAACGTTCGCCTCTTGAACTACTGGATTTTTATCTTCTGGCGCTTCTACTACTGCAGGAATGTCCACGATTTCAGTGTTTTCCAAATCATCAGTCACTTCCTCGGTGTTCTTTAGTTTGCCTTCAACGGTTGCCTTCAGGTCTTCAAATTTCTCAGCGTGGTCTTCCGTTTTATCTAGCATTTCGTTCATAGCTCTGTTGTTGTCTTCCATTTTGTCAATTTTTTCGTCTATTTTCCTACAGCTGTCGCTCATTTCGCCATCATTTTCCTACTGTTGTCTTCCATTTTGTCCATCATTTCGTCTTTCAAATGCATGAGCAGTCCAATCAAACTGGGGTTCTCCATTGCAGGGTCTTCCTTCTTTGATTTACTTCTTGTTTTCATCAAAATTCAACTTCGATTCTGGTAAATCCCACTTCTGACACCAAATGTACCGTGGATGGCCGATTTGATATTACAGTTTCTGTATTTGCTGTACCGTCTGTGACCAAATGTTATACTTATTATGCCATATTTGCAAAATTTACAAATCCTTGAAAAACAGCGAGGAGACGAAACGAAAATGAAAAGCGAACGTATCAAGACGTCCGATGAAGAACGAGCGCCAATGAACGGAAATCTTTCGAAATTGTGCTTAAGCAATAAGTAGAATAAAGTCGCCGCATGTGGAATAGTGCCTAAAGTGTGGAATACCCCATTTGCGGCAAAATTAATTGTCATATCTTTGAAAATAGCCTAATCAGATATTTCTAAAATGTTTCACTTTTACCAACACCATGGAGCATTTTGCGGCTGGTATTTGCCAGCATTGGTTCGAACACGAATTGTAACGGTGGCTATATTTTTGCACGTGTTTTAATTAGCGTCTATTCTAACTACATTTGTAATTTTCTTTAGCAGATTGGTGTATAAGTGTAAAGGTAGAAAGTGAGTGGAAGTGCGAGTGGGAATTATGAACTGTGTTAAATATTTCATTAATATTTTGTTTTTAATGTTTTACAAATATATTCTATAAACATTTAAAAGGTCGGTATTGTGAAATACTAAGTAGGGTCTGAATGTGGAATATTTCACATAAAATGCATTTTTGAAAATATTTTAGCTATTTCTGAGCTAAACTCAAGATCTAGAAACAAAACTGGTAGAGTACATTCTGTTAATGGAGAAAAAGTATTTTGGTTTAACAAGGCGGGACCTATGCTCTATTGCTTCCCAACGTGCTAGGCAAAAAGTTACTTGCGAACAAATATAGGTTATGTGTGCCATGTGCAACACTGGCGGATAAACGTGGGAATACGATCCCTTTAATGCGCATGCACGGACTCTAAGCGATCAGATGTTTATTTTCAGATTTGCTGTTTTTTTGATTTGTTGATTTAGGTTAGCATTTTCCTTAATTCGTGTGTAAAGGATACAGGGTGTTCGAAATTCTTTTATATGTTACTTCAGAAAAATGAATATGGGTTTATGCCGCAATTAAGTTTTTCAGTCAGTCAGGCTTGCAGCTTGGAGGATAAAGTGGTTATTGAATATACATATGATATACCTATGATTGTTTAAATGCACTACAAAAAATTAAGATTGTAGACACCATTTAACACAGAAACTTGTACTACAGTCAATGGTTGTACTAAAGGTCATATGAAATCTACTCTTTTTGATCAGACGAAATCCAGGCACAAGCCATCAGTATAATAACATTTATCAATAATATGAAAGCACTAGGAACTCTCATGCTTAATAGGAACTTTGGGATTTGATGGGCAACTGCTAGACACGCGAAGAATGTGCTGGGGCCGAAAAACACATCTGTGATTTTTGTTCTTAATTATTTTTCATATTAGTAATTTTTATGTTCATTTATTGTTTTTTTCGTATTTTATAAAATAAATGTATGTTAGTTTCCAATAATCTGTTGCTTTACCTAAAAAACACAAATTATTTTAAAATCAAGTCTAATATTAAACCTATTCCCCATTAGTGTATATTTCACATTACACACCCATTTCTCAGCTAGAAAAAAGTACACTTTTTTAAACGGCTTTTCATACATATTTTTTCTTTTATAATAATTATAATTATTTCGGTTTTTCGTTTATAACACTTCAATTTATATATATTCCAGAATACCTATAATAATGTTAACGTTTTCATTTTTATTTTTCTAAAAAAACCGAACAGTATTTCACAATCGGCTACTTTACTCTATTGTATTCAGTTTATGGAAAACAAGAAGAAACAATCGACCTAAAAAAATTCGAAAGATATACCTTAATAATATAAAATTATTATTAATGCAAAAAAGGGGTCTTTTAATTCTTCTGTACTTCGGAATTCTAGTATCTGTTCGTATCTGTACAGCAAATCTTGAAAATCTGTTTATTATTATTTCAGTGTAATTCGCACTCCATCTTGAAAATTTGGTATCAAAGCATGGTTTGAAACTAGTGAGCCGGTCAGAACAGTGTAAGCATTCAAGCAAACCACCTCTGAAGATGTAAGCTACTCGTGCTTGCGAAACGTCAGGAAAAAAATCCATTTTACGACGGCCTAAAAACTCGAAAAACCTACTAGTTTCAAGGAATGACCTCGAAAGTATATCTCTTTGGATAATTCATGGTTTATTCAATGGAGGAACAAATGTAAATTGTTCAGCGATATTCTGGACATTAGTATCGGAGGTTTAATACTTATATTAAAAAGTTAACAAAACGGGGGACAAATTTAGTGATATTTCAACAGTATGGAAAACCGCCCTATTTTGTGTAACCCTTTGATCGATTGCCCGAGAATGAGAATTGGAAGAAGAAAAACTGTAGAACGGCGCTGAGATCTCCCGATCTTACGCTCGTTGATTTACAAAAGTAAATCAGAAATCATAAAAATGCTGGCTCTTCAGCATTTTGTGATGTGTTCAAAACCCAACTAGAAAGAAAAAGTCGTGTTTATGGATGGATTTTTAGGAAAAAAAAATCGTGGCGTTGACGATACTCTTATAATATACAATATTGTAATTCTTCAGTAGTAACAGACGCAAATATAAAGTTAAACACATAAACTAACTGACCGCAACATATGATATACTTACGATTCAAATTTTTGATGTACCGGACAGAAAAACTGAAGCTCGTTCCTCGTGCTGGCATACGATATTGTATTAATGCCACATTCTGTGAACTAATAAAAGTTTGCTTTATTTTCCGTTGCCCACAGAACTCGCTAAATCTTGATTTAAGTGATTTAGAGTGATCTTCTGGACTGGGAAAAAGTTCACCATTTAGTTCCCATCCATCGACGACCTAAAACGTTGAAATAATTAAAATTATGCTTTTCATCAATTTAATTGAAAGTATTAGCCAATTCAAATATCGGGTATTTGCAATGTAAAGAATCGCAATTTGTTCAAACATCAATTTAAATGGCAATTTTAACTGAGTTTGAATTGGGTTTTTCAACACCTCGATTAAAGTATTTCTTAATTATTCCTAGTTTCTCGTTCGTTAGTTCTTTGTAAACAATGCTTCCATATTTGGCATAATAAACAGACTAGAGTGTCTAGAGAATAGGGGTTCAATAAAAATCAAAATTGTGTGATAATTAATTAATATGTAATTTATCTCATTTCAAAGTAGATTTGACGATCCTTGATAAATAGGTTGACATTTCGGCGTCATTTATACAACGTTTAACAGATTTCATAGAGCGTTTTCTGAGTTATAAAAAATGAACGATGCTCTAAAATTTGTACGTTGTTGTCCATGATGGTTGATGACCACTCCAAATTGTGGAAAGTACCTAATACCCAAATTGTATAGCCGACAATTAAAATTGCTACTCAAAACGGTGGACCTAATAATTCACTTCGCAGAAACGCAGATTAATACGTTTTTCCAAACTTTCTTCAAGAATTCGGCATCCAGAATTGTGCACTGTTAAGATATAACAGAAAAAATAGACAATTAACAAAACTTAAATCCATTGAACTACGAAAGATAAGATTTTAAAGCTTAGTCCGATCCAGCTAACTTCGTAAAATTAAAAACATATCTATTTGGAAACAAAATTTACGGCTATTTGCACCAGTGAACCTAAGGCTCACCTTAACATAAGAGTGACAGTTAAGTGACATAATTTGTTTGCACCACTGTCACCTAGCGTTAATGCGAACCGTAACAGACAAATAATTTAAGGGGAAGATGAAGTGCCGCTTAAGCGGAACCTAAAGTCAGATTCCAGTCAGATTTGAAGACTAATCTCAAACAGAACTGTTATTGCATAATTTTGCAGTTGCAGTATTTTGCTGCAAACAAGCCTATATTTGTATAATTAATTATTAAATTTATTGTAAGCATATATTTGTCATTATCAACCGATAATAATTAGTATATTTCGTGTACTAAACCATTTTATGTTGAATGTGTTAAGTAATGATCTGTTATTTGATAATGATGACAGCAACCATGTGCGAGTTCCTAGGCTGGTTTACGAGAAAACACATTCTTTGATAGTTTTGATGATGTTCTGTTTTTTCAACGTGTTCCGTGTCACAAAGTACACCGCACTTTTCATATCGAACCAAGCATATACGGATAAGAAATATGGTTGAGCGGATATTTGGTATCTGGAAAAGAGGATTCCCAGTCCTTGCATACGGTTGTCGTCTAAAAATAGATACGGTCTTAATAATAAAATAATTGAGTAGAGAGCAAAATGAGGATCAGCCACCTGATCGTGAAGATGTTGAACGCTTCATACATCTCATGCAAGAAGATGAAGTACCTAACATAAGCGATATATATAACAGAAACAATATATTGTTGCAAGGGAATCAAACTAGGAAGGACTTAACTGATCCTATTTTAGATTCATTGATAAATAGCGATGAACTGAATTGAAAGTAATGCTTTTGATAAAGGACTAATATTATTAAATTAAAGTTCATTATTAAATTGAAATAACTTATTATGCATTACTAAAACAAATGAAAAATAGCATTATTTGCTTAAGTCTTTTTTAAGTATTCCAATTTTAACTTTTCCTACTGAAACTCGAGCATGATTTTGTCCTGCTCTTTTTGACTAAAATGTTTTGAAGCTCCTCTTCATAACATAGCATTATTCGCTTCCCCCCAAATGGGAGTCTAAGGGTTTTCCTTATAGGAAAAATGTAGTCCGTTTTTTATTTTCAAATGACTCCATCTTTAATAATGTAATATGAATTAATTATATTTGAGGCGAAAACAGTAACGGCAACCTGGCATTCAGTTCTAAGATAAAAGTTATTTTGGAAAGAAAAGGCGGGAGCAAAAGCCAATTTGTCACTTTTAGCAATGTTGCCAGGTAAAACTTCATCTTAGCTAAGTATCACTTAATTGACAGCCGTGCAAAGCTGTCTGTAGTTAGGTTTTACCTTAATCCAAAGTTATCCCTAGCTAAGAATAAGTTTTAAGGAAGACTGGTGCAGATGGCCGTAAGGGATCTAACGTCATAGGGCAAACTGATTATATGTTAAAACAGCTAAGTATGATTATTACAAAAGTTGCGCCCGTAAACCAGACAAAAATTTTCTAAATATTATTTCAAGAGATAAATAACGTTAATAATACATGTAAATAGATTTATAGTTCCATTAGAATAATTAATTATACAAAATACATATTTATTCATTATTTATATGTAAATCCCTTAAGCAATCCCAAATTAATATTCATTGTACTAAATTTATTAATATAGCGGTACTAAATGAAAGTGCTTTTCCAAGATCCAAAAGCATAGTTAAAGCAGTATTTGCAAAATTTTCCGATTAAATGTAGAGTTTCATTCAGAAGTGTACATTGCGGTTTGGTAGTCTTGGACGATGTGCTTTTTGCAGAACGACCAGACAAATATTGACAAGTACCTATTCTTAAAATTTACAACACGGCCATCAGTAATTTGAGTCAACATTAAGATAAGCATTACAGTTCATATTAATATGGACAATATTCACCAAGATGTGGCATTTCTATATATTTTGTAAGGCCATTTGTTGTTTGTAAATTCAAACAAAACGATTTAAATAATAGGATTCATTAAAAGTTTGATGAGCCGTCTTAGTCTAACTTGGTTTACGCACCTTATTTTTGACTTGTATATTTCTTTGGGATAAAGGGAGTAAAAAGAGCAACAAAATATAATGCTTGTTATGAACTATCTGGCCAAATATTCCAGTCACTAGTCAAAAGAGAGTAATTTGTATGGATACGAAATTGTCGCACGACTGAGCACACATAAGAATATTATACTTTATTTACCTAAACGACTTTCGCATTGAAGGGTACATCAAAATACATTCGGAACTGGCAGAAGGTGGAAACAACAAAAAACGCGTTGCATGAAATTGTATACCGATCGATGTTCCTATTCTCTCTCAAGTGTAAGTTTAGTCCCAATCATATATGAAATGTTGTTTTTCAACGCTTGATGTTGTTTTTATTTAATGTTTTGTCAATCGAGCCCATCGACTACTTGAATTGGCTATATAACCGACTTACAGCAAACACACAAAGTCTAATGGATACTATTTTTAACAATACAAAGTAATATGTATGTTTTTTAAAACAAAAATATCAAAAGACGCACGTGTTTGTGCTACTGATAATGTAGGTCTATTACCAACTGCTATTACTCTTATTCTACTTCGAAATGAAAGTTCATGAGCCATGTACTAACCTGTTAAGTACTGCAACTCAACTGTGAATTCACTTCATAGTTAAACGTAAAGTCTCCTTTCATTTACAAATCTGTTACCATGTAATTCGAAATTTTTTGCAAAACCGTTACCATAACATTCTAGTTGATATTATATGGCATCATCACAGACAAAATTGTAATTTACCAGCAAAATGTAAAGCTTAAGGGTTTTCGCTTTACTTGACAGAAATATTTTATCAAAGCTTTTGCATTTGTTTTGCCACTTTGTGATGACAAAACTTTTCCTTCAAATCATTATCAAATATTTAACGAAAATGTTGCTAATTTCTGTTGCAACAATTCACTATTTGAAATCAGTTATTAATACAGCTCCAACAATTATTGATACATTATATCATTATATGAATAAATAATTAATATAACTACAGCAAAGAAAATTCAAATAGGGTATGTACATATATTTTCAGTTGAAGTCTGCAAGTTATATACGTGCACGTTTCGAAAATAGAAACAGTCCGTCCCAAGACCTAGATGGATTTTTAACTCTCAAGTTTGCTACCTCTGAACTCTTAGGACTAGCGCATATTTAAATCTACTAATGCTTATGACACAAGACCTGTTACATTGCAATCATATAAGGCAAGTTTAACAATGTCATTTAATACATATATTCTAGATTTTCTTTAAATATTGAAAGTAGATTATTTAAGTTGCATGTAATATTAATAAAAATGTCGTTCCACGTTCTCACAACGATTATATTGGTACATATATTTTGCTAGATTGACGTTTTTGAATCGTACTTGGGAACAATGCCAAATGTTACTTGTTACGCTATCAGGTCAATCCCAAAAAGGTAATTTTATTGATCCCTTGGTAGAAAGGGCGTTGTTTCGCCATTGGTTTCAAAACGAAAGAATCATATTTACCCATTAAATTGACGAGACATTGACTATTTACCTTTTCTGGATCCCCTGGTAGAAAGTACGTACTTTCGCCACTGTTTTCGATGACGAAAGCATCAGTTTTACTCATTACAAATTTTCTTCATCTCGTGGGGAAAGTAATAAATTTCGCCACGGACACTTGACAGCTTGACTTTGCCGTTGGCTGTCAGCTGACTGTTTTGACAACATTTTCAAAACCTTATACATTCCCGGCTAGTATCCACAGAGGATCAAGAAAAATAGTATACGGTACGTCCCTTGTACCGTAATATACTGTTTCTCCCATTATTCATAGTATATTACAGTACAAAGTCGAAGTTCCGCCAGAGAAGTTGATGCCCTAGGCAAAGCCGAGGGCTTCATGTACGCAGTGGCGAATAAAATGCTATTTAGATTTTTATTTATGAACTGAAAATATATGGAATGCTATTTGTTTTTATTAAGTGTTGAAAATTGCCGAGTCCAAGTGGCGACCATTTGTTTCGATATACATTCGCACTTGATTTGTAAAACTTTTCACCACTCAAGCAATCATTTAAGGCAATATTGCCGTAATTTCTTCCTCTAACCCGAACCCAATAACTCCAACTTCCTTCAGAAGAAAAAGGTGCACGGGGCAAGATCAGGTAAACGCGCAGGCCACCTAACGTCACCGCGTAACGAGATTAGGTGTCCTGGAAACATTTCCATTAAAATCTCGAGTGTCCTTGCTGTAAGAGCCGAATTCCGTTGAAACTACACATGCTCACATGCAAGTTCTCCAAGTTTTGGTGCGAAAAAATTGCGTAGCATGTCTACATATCGATTGGTAGTTACTGGAACCACCACGCATCCCTCTTCAACAAAATAGCAGCCCCACGCACCAAGAGATCGAATAGCACACCAAGCGCTAACACGTGTGTTGTGAAGTCGCTTTTGATGGAGCTGCTGCCGATTTTGTGATGCCCAGTAGAAAAAAATCTACGTGCGAGAATATTTTGTCAGACCCTGTACTATTTGCCAGTGTGCTAGTGGGTATATCATTATTATTAGTTGAGTAGAAATTAATGTTTCAAGATTTAGATTTTCAATTGAGAAAATATAATAAACATGCATGTTTTTCAATGTGGTTGCGTGTCCCGTTCAGTCAGTCCTATCACTGAAATGTACAGTTTATCCTAGATCTTCACTACTTCATCTATTTGAAATAAACAACAAACTGGCTCAGCTCGTTTATTAGTGTCTGGGAGCGATTTACAGCCTTATCCAGGAAGCTAAACGGCATTCTTGAAATTGTTAAAGTTTTGAAGAGCACAATTCAGGAAGTTTAACATTGCTGGCGCGTTTGATAATAGATGCCGGTTAGATGTGTAATGGTCTCTGCGATTCTCATTTAAAAAGTTATCCAAAATAGCAAGTTTACGTCAACTGAAAAAAAAATAGTATTGTGGTGGTTTATTAGTTGCCTGCTAAATGGGCACCGGCAAGTAAAATGTTGCTTAAAAGCAAATTTACAATTGCTTAGTTAAGAGATAATACATTTGTGAAATAAGCTGAGAACTTCCTGTTTGTTTGGTCTCTTCCCCAAGTGAACCCCATTAGCCCCTTACCACAATTTTCAGCCACCCTGTATTACCTGAACATACTTCAATTATATACAAGGTGTATGTCTACCATCAGGATAGATGGTAAAAATGAAATGGAAAAATCCTGAGCCAAGTTTAATGCAACCAGTTCTTATAGAGACATGTGCTATTATATTAACTATTGATATTATGTCGATTACATTTATATTAAAACTGCTGAAATTGCATAAACATCATAAGCTGAGTGAATACTAATGAAGACAGTTTTGGAAATCAAATGTTACCTACATTTTGTTTTGGAATAATTGTTAATTAGCCTTCATCCGTCGTATAACGTTTATTTTGTTAATAGCACATTTTTTTAATAAATATTGAATTTTTATTCTTCAAAACTTAAAAGTTTTTTAAAAGAACCAAAAACTTTTGATTAACATCATTGAAACGTTCTTCACATGCAGACAAGTAGAAAAAGGCCCTTTACAGGTGTCCAGAGTCAGAGTCTATAAAGATCTTGTCTAGTTTATGATTAAATTTTGCTCAATAATGAGTAAACTTCTCCAGTAATGAACAGCTTCTAGGCTTTAACAGACGAAATAACAGCATGTTGCCTTAAAATGAGAGGAGACAAACCCCAAATGCATCCAACATCCAAATGTACCCCTCAAACCACCGCATTAAAAATAACTCTTTTTCCACAACTTATAGCTCAATAATGAGTAAACTTCTCCAGTAATGAACAGCTTCCAGGCTTTAACAGACGAAATAACAGCATGTTGCCTTAAAATGAGAGGAGACAAACCTGTTTATAGCAGAGTTCAATTTTTTGTCATAGTCTATAAGTCTAGCACAAAACCAATTTGAACCAAGCTTTTTCTTTTATTCTTTCTTCTCTACAATTGCTCTAGAGAAGTGACCTTAACGGCCACTGTTCATTCATACGAAAATCTTATCGTTAATATACAGAGTGCTTTATTAATAAAGGTAAATCTGAATATTGAGATACTATAAGTAAAATACAATTTACACAAAATTTCAAATTACTAACCCAAATTCCAAAAGAGTCGCAAAAACACAAATTAAACTTACGATTGTTAACACCCTGTATAACCAAAAATATCAACTTTCTTACAACATATTCGTGCACCAATGGCCACCTTTTGGTGTTTAGTATCTCCAGTTTCAAGATTTCTATGAGTCACTCTGTTGAAATATCAATGTAATATTTGCAATTCTGGTTAACGTTGACAGAAGAGATGCACAATCCAATTTGCGTCTGGAAAACCCATTCAACAGCTTTGTCCGTCACACTATTTGCATGTAGTTACAATCCAGGAAAAACTAGGTAAATATTTGTCAGAGCAAAAACGAAACTGACGTAAATTTATTATTTGCGGTGCAATTGAATATCATGACCAGACAAATAGTATTTTGTCTTAAAAAGCCAACTCTAAGGAAAGTGAGTTTTGTTACTGCAAATTCAACGCTCATTATTATAAATCTGAAAAATATTTTAGCTTTAGGGGTTTCATACTCGCCGTCATCAGGAGCAAAGTCAAATGTTGACGAAGAATTACAGCAACAATTATTTTCAAATTAGTTTAAGCTCGTTTTCTCCTCGTGGTTTTTTAAACCTCAGTACCAGTACGATCAAATTAAACGATTTTTATTATATAAACATGGATTTTAAATGGCAACAAATCTCTCAAGTTGTCAAAAAGTTCGAAGATATTTTTTTCTAAAAAATTGAAAATTTTAATCTCTGCATGCAAGATAGATTACTTAAAATACAAATGATTAGAATATTAATAACAAGCCCAAAGACAAATATTCCCTTAAGGTCCGTGAACATTTAATATTTCCAACATGCCAAAGTATTATACTTTCCTAGAACTAATTTACATTAGATAAAACGGCGAATAAATTTTCCATTCATATGTACATTAGATCATAATTTATGGGTAATTGTAAAGATAATACGGTTGTCTACTGAATGCGTTAATTGAAACTTAAAATTCTGCACTATTTTATTAAGCGTGCGTCAGAGGTGGGTGAAAATTATGAACGAAAACGGGAGTGTTTTGTCGGTCTTGTGAGGCAAAGGGGATCCAGTATGGTCCAGTTGTGGGGGTTGTCCATTTTGTCTGTAAGTGTATTAATCTTTCCGAAATTTTTGTCATGTTTGTGTGTTCGTATAGTAGTTGGTTGGAAGAGTTGTGCAGTGGGTTTTGGCGGTGTTTTATTCGTGTCATTGGTCTTAGTGCAATTTGTTCTGTTGTTTGTACGTATCGTTTTGTCCTTTCTGTTCCGTTGGCCATGAGTATATGTCCGTAGTCCAAGAGGGGTCTG